CCCCTCACCCCAGAAGCCTTTGTTGCTAGCTCTGTCTTTTGTGCTTCTTGCAGTTCCTACATGCAAGGACTGTTTGGAGGAAAAACGTCACTGATTTCAGGAGTACAAATACACTAAGGACTCTAAAAGGGTGAAAAACATGAATGGGGAAAAGACACATGCAAGTGCTATGCAAGAACCCTCTGAAGCCTTGGAGGAAGAAACGGGACAGTAGCAACCCCAAGAATATCCCAACAGATAGAGTAGGAGCCAGAATCAGATCAATTGGCTTTTTTCTTGGGTACAGCATGAGCACAGTGAGGCAACAAAAATGGGTAATGTAGGCAGAAAGTATGGACGTCGTGACTCAGTGTGACACCCACCCTTGCAGCTGCTCCTCTTCCAACAGCATGGATTCAAGCACATACACTGAGAAAATTGTCAGGGTTCCTCCTCCTTGTCAGAATAACCCTTTGATTTTGTTGCACGGCAGCTGCATTTGGTTTTACAACTCCTGCTTGCATTAACTTACCCAAATTAACTTCTATGTGCTGATTTTAAAGGGACTCCGTCTACTAAAAACAAATGAGAGTTGCAAAATTAGTCCCTTTGCTGTTCTTCCTCACATCTTGACTTCTATTTCTGTTCCTGCCACTCACCAGCAATCTGCCAGCAGGTGAATCACTTCACGGTGTTTCTGCTTCCCTTCAAACTTCTCATCTATTTAGATAATAAATTTGCAGAGTAATATCTGTCTTTAGATACCAAGTGGGTCTGTGCTCAACAAGTACCTCTACCTGCTGCTGTACAATGTTACTGCTAATTGTCACCTTGAGCTTCAGCATTGGTGACGTGCTTCTGAGATGATCTCAGCTTCTCTCATTACAACCACCACTTTGGGTTTTGTATTTTAAACTAGTCTGCAGTGGAGCAAAGAAATCTGTGTGTCTGAAAAATTATGCCAATGCACTGTAACTCCTGCAGTACCTACAGACATACCGATGGTGTGCCTAAGGCTTCAGACTTACAGGCCAGATGTAATTAACACACCACTGGAAAATGAAGGGGGTGTGTGTGTACCTAATTAGACTTATGGGTAACACCTTAAACCTGCATCATGTCCAAAGTATACTGATGAATACGTGCTCATCTGATGGCATCAGCTTAATTAGCTCACTAATTATTCAAGCAGCAGTAGGCAGAAAGTTTCCATCGGATTGGTTCTATCACAGTAATTGATTGTTACTCTGGTGATGCCAAGACACGCAATCAAATAATCAGCAAGACCAAGTGAGCACAGAAAACAAAAAGGTCACCGGGACAAGCTGGCAGGCAGCACCGAACAGAAACCTGAACTACTCACCCAAAGATGTGCCTGGTGTTCCACAAATCAAGCCCTTGACTCAGGTGTGTGCACAGGCATATAGATGTATGAAAGACCCTGCAGCTTAAATAGCAGCAGCAGAGCACCTGGATCCGTGATGTTTTCCTTGAAACAAGTGTCTACGTTCATGACCGAGTCACCTATAGTTCTTAGTGAGGGAAGGCGGTGAAGCTTGAGAGTGTTTCAGAGAAAGAGGAAAAAAAAAAAAAAAAAAAAGTGTTCATGTGCCTCAGTCACCATATTCTCTAACAATACGGGAAGATTATCAAACAGAAGGTTCAACAGGTCACTCGATTGTCATCTGTGAGAACCTCGGTGGCCCTGGATTCAGAAAATAGGCAGGGTAGTAGCAGGATACTGTAAGAGCAGTAAGGATTTCCAGGCATACAGTAATAAATAAAAGTAATAGTTACACTGGGTGGTTTTTTTTCCACATCTACTGAGCACACTTCCTCAAGCACAATCTGCCAACAACCATCACACGTGGCAAATGCTCGTTACAGCACGCAGAAGTCCTGCTGCACATCGGGGTGCGGCAGCAATCCCCCCAGGACAGGGGGGAGCTGAGATGCTCCCGGCAGCCCCCCAGCCCCCGTGCATGCATCAGGCCCATCAGCCAAGGGGAATGGCAAGCCACCGCGCACAGACGGTCCACGAGCCCTCGGGAATCCCATCTGGCTGATGTCCCTGAGCAACCCAAGTGGGAATGCACGGCCAGGGCAGGGAAAAACCCTCCCGATTTTGCCCGCAAGTCAATCAACCCAAGGGAGCCTGACAAATCATCCAACAGTCCCTGTATCCCGCAGTAAAATCCTGAACCCAGTGAGCCAAATCTCTACTGGAATGAGATGGAAACCCCCAGCTGCCGTAAGCCTCAGCTATTCTCCTTAGTCACCTCCCATCAGTAACAGCCAAGTTCAACAAAAACTTCTCACACCAGTGATACTTACAAACCTGATAATTGCAGAATAGCCCAACTGCCAGCAATTTTACATTATGATCACATAATTTGCAGCTGAACTTGAATTCACTTGTAGCCACATTAATTACAAGAAATACCGTGCATGTTTGCTACCTTGCAGACACTTGTTTGTCTCTCATTTGTTTTCATTAGATAGGCATCTCCATTATGCGTCTCCAGCTTTAAATTAAAAACAGATGGACAGGCTAGGACTGCTCTATACCAAAACAGATATCAAATTCAGGATCTGATTTTCATTACTTTGGATTTATCCTGGATTACTCTGCATTTACAATTTATATAACTTCTATGAAGTTACTCCAGGTGAAGTTCTACCAGAGGACTTCTCTATCAGATGAAGTCATACCAAATGAGAAAAGTTTTGTCTCAGAGTCATCAACACATCAGTCATTGTCTTTAATGAATCTTTGTAGTAATAACTATACATATTTCATCTCGACCTTGATGATGGTTCCAACCAAGTTCTTCTTGAGAAAGTGTGAACGTTCGCCATTTTTCAGGCTTGTTTACTTTGGATATAACTCCAGAAGAGCAATTGCTGCTAACGTAGCAAGACACCCTTCTCCCAAAATGACTTCTGTAAGGTGGGAATTTTGAAAAATTAGATCATGATCACCTGTCTGCTGTTTGGAATAGTTATGCTATTTGTTGTTCCCCCATTACTGTAACATAAACAAACTTTTGTTTCAGATGAGGTCCAACATGGACAGACATTTTTAACTCCAACAGCAAAATTATTGCTCTGAGAAATGGGAGCAGTAACAACTTTCATATGCTGTTCTCATGGATGAAGGTGGATGAGTTATCACTGGTGTTGAGAGGAAAGTTGCTCCCACTTATCAGCTACACCTCTCCATGGCAGACAGGCTTTCATGCCTCTTCTGGTGTAAAATCAGAGCAACCTTCACTTTTTTTTTTTTTTTTTTTTTTTTTTCCTGGCAAAATTAATGAAAGAGTAAATTAAAGGCTTCCAAACCATTCTGCCAGATACCTTCAGAACTAACTGTAACAACCCTAGTGCCAGTGGCAGCTTTAAAGCGAGGCTGTGAATTTGCTTTGCAGTGGGTTGTGTACAGTAACGGTACACACCACACTTCTGAAGTCCCTGCTGTCAAATCAGAAATTTAGAAAAAGCTGAAGGCAACTCCTTGGAATAAAGTTGTGAGGACGGAAATAACGTGAAATGTGCAAATGCAAATAAAATTCATAGTACATCTTAGATGCGCTCAGCATGTTAATGCCTCAACTGCTTCATTCATTTGCTACCAGTTTTCTGTGCCCTGAGGCATACGTTATTAAGGCATAACCCAACATAATCTAACCTGGAGTCTTCAAATGCTACAACACTAGTTGTGGAACTGTTTTCCAGAAAACACTCCTCTGAAATTTCTAATTCTTTAGAAATCTAAGCTGAGAACTTTGATCTTTGGCATCAGGTTTGTAATCAATTTCAGACACGTCTTCTGCAGATCCCGGACACAGAAACTTTAGGAGAGTTAAAATCTGTAATTTCCATCCCCCAGAACACCAGCATTCCCAATTGCACTTCTTGCGATCAACCGCTGACATGAGGCTCGAGATACATAGCAGTGATGCAGCCACAAAGAGAGAAAGATATACAATTTGGCAAGGGACAAGTCCAAAGAAAAGAACAAATGCAGAAAAAATGATGCAACATGGAGACAGCTTGGTCAGAGCCTATAAGCTAAGTGTCTAGTTATCCTCCTGCAAAGCATTTCAACACAACTGCTTGAATATTTGAATTTGAACCAATTAAATCTAAAAGAAAACTTTTTTTTTTTTTCTAAATCAATGTAAGAAATCACTGTTTAAATCAATGTTAGAATATAAAAAGGTTGTTTCCTAAAATATTTTGTTGGCCAAAAATAACTAGCTTTCAATGAAGCACTGAGAAAAGTATCTGAGTATTTGTTTTTATTCTATGCCCAGCACTGAATGGCATGCCCCTTCCTCTTACAGTGCTGAAGTATCTTCTTTGAAGTCTATCCAAAACAAGGAACCTCCCTGACACTGAGGGGAAATTGTAAAACCTGATAATAAAATCCAGAGAGCAATAAATCATAGAATCACAGAATGGCTTGGGTTGGAAGGGACCTCAAAGCCCCCCCAGTTCCCACCCCGCTGCCCCGGGCAGGGCCCCCTTCCCCCAGCCCAGGGGGCTCCCAGCCCCGTCCAACCTGGCCTTGAACCCTTCCAGGGAGGGGGCACCCACAGCTGCTCTGGGCACCCTGGGCCAGCGCCTCACCCCCCGCACAGGGAACAATTTCTGCCTCAGATCTCACCTAAATCTGCCCTCTGGCAATTTAAACCTGTCACCCCTCGTCCTACCCCCACCCCCTGACCCAGAGTCCCTCCCCACCTTTCCTGTAGCCAAAAGTAAGTATTAGAAAGAAGCAATAAATAAAGGGAGCAAATAAAGAGCAATAAATCCAAAATCTTCAAATCCTAACATTGGTGGGAAAAAAGAAAACACCCGAAAACAGATTCTCCAACTTGCTCCTTCACAGCTGCGGCCGCTGTGTGGCTGCTTACGGTCACGTACGTTTTAAGAACAAGGACAAGACAACACCACTGAAACCCGAAGGACCACAGGGACATCAGAGGAGCGGGCAGGGTCGCTGCTGGAGGCCCCACCTGTTTTATTAGAGAGTCGGAAGGACACCATCTTGTCAGGGATGCTGCAGACATTCCTCACCGAGGCGATGCAGCTGTAATTAGCGTAGTCCTGAGGTCGGAGGTTCTTCAGCTTCAGGATCTTTGTTTCTCCCTGCGTGTGCAAGAGAGAGTGTTAGGAAGGGACCGAGGCAGAGGAACAAGCAGGGATGCAGAAAACACTGGAAGTGGCTTCCAGGAGCCAAAAGGAAGATGCAGATTTGGCTAATTAGAAGCAGATGTTGAAGTGGTCCAGAAAACATTTTTTATTCAATTACCTGAAAGAATGGCAGCTGTCGTAACCTAAAACTGTAGCCCCACTTATATATTAAAGGCAAAAGAAAAGAGAGCAGCGAGGGGGAAATTGGTTTGACAGTCTTTCAAGTTGCAGCATTATTCAGGATAATATATCTTAAGGTACCAATCTATGTGATGAAAAAAATCACAGGCTACAGAAATCCTGCTGTTTTCCTTTGAAAATGAGCTGCTGATGGATTTTATTTTTAGCCAGCACTGTAAATGATGGAGCAGGGACCTGAACGGGATATGTAATGAAGGAGTTCCTTCAGACAATCAAGAGAAAACTGGAAAAAATGAGATTTCCACTGCAGTACTATGTGAAATGGGCACCACAGAACCAGAAACTCAGGAGAAAAAGTAAGTTGCTGAAACACGTATGTAAAAACTTACAGCATCATTAGCAAAAAGAGTAACAGAAAGACAAAAGGAGTGTCAGAGACAAAATTCTGAGCACGCAGAGATGCCATGGGACAGAGCAGGGAGGCAGAAAGCACAGGGAGCACAGCAGAGCACATCAGGGTGCCAGGCATGAGGATGCAACAGAGTGGAGGGCTGCGAAAACATCAGATAAATCTACCTGTATCGATATCTGCACATTATCCACTCTAGCATTAAAATAACAAACTTCCTCAGGCTCTCAATCTCCTCCTCCAGCTGCCCGCTTTCAAGTCTTTGCCTGCATTTATAGTGATAAGCTAAAAATGTATTGTGCTTAGACAAGGCTCAGGCAGAACGCCAGCCCAGGGAGGCAGATGCTCCAACCAGGCTCACAAAGCATCAAAAGAGGAAACTTTGGAAAATGTTCATTATCATGTATGCTGTTAAATCTGAACAACTTCTAATATTACCACAGCCTGAGCAACAAAATTTTTTTTTTTTTTTTTAACAATATCATGTGCACCAACTGCCCGGGCTTATATAGGCAAAAATATGGTAGTTTGTGAAAATGCATGGACAGAACTAGCAAAAAAAAAAAAATCAATAAAAGAGAAGATACAGCTCACCAGACAAGAAAAGAAATAGTTGTTGAAATCAAGCTGGGTAGATGTTTGGAACACTGGATCTGAAGTGCTCTGTATATGTGATCAATCCCTCAGAAATTATGTGATTAAAATTAAACACATGCTGATTTACACCAAGTCTTTTCAAGGCTGTTCCTAAAGCTAAGGATCCTACTTTAAGAAGGGGTTTATTTGGGCTAGAGAAGGGCCTGGCCCAGGTGAGCAGGAACACGGTTATCAGAGTCACTGAGTTCTGGAAACACGGAGGAGCAGCTGCAGCCCATCAATTCGTCCCTTCGCCGTGGAGTCCTGTTGGCTGAACTCACAATGGTGTTCTGGATCATGGCCCCAGACTGCAGAGGTTTATAAAAATGTATATATTTTCTTCGTTGGTTTGGATAATTAGTCTAATTATGTCTAATTACATAATTATTGTAAATACAGCAAATTTAATCTTGTACTCAGGCTGTGCAATTACAATGTGCTATGAGGATGATGCAAACTCTTAGGAAAAAATTCTGCATCAAGATTTTGGTTTCGAAAAGTTCAGTATCTCAAATACTTCCACAGATGAGAACGTGCAGCTTTGTTCAATTTTTAATCCCCATGGCAGCTAAAATAAGAAGCTGACATTACCTGACTCATCAAAAAAAATCTGTTCAAAGTTCAAGAGTTCATTTTGATATGCACAGTTTTCCAGGTGCCTTCTATGATTTAATAAAACAAGAAAACCACCAAAAATAAAAACTAGCCCTTTTTGCGTACAACACCTCAGAAAATTCAAGTTACTACTTGTTATCCTTTACATTCCGTTTGATTTTCAGATTGATAATCCACCTTCAAAGCAATCAGCAAAAAATGCCACCTCAGATTCATCTCTCTTGACGCTCTGAAGTCAAATCCCCTCTGTCCTTCTTCACATCAGCTCTTACAGTTTGTTACCATATCGTAAGCCAAATCAATTATGCAGAGATGTGCAGTAGATGTTTATGACTCTTAAGCCTTTAATTACATCTTTTCCTCTTATAAACATATATCGGATCTTGTAGACACACCGACAAGATACACTAATTCAACCTGACCTCCAATAAATGTAAAAAGGTTATGGATAAGCTTTCGACTATCAACATGACAAACTGATTTATCCATTAATTCATCCCAGACAGAGGTTCTAGGAAGAATGCTCCTAGTAACCTAGAAATATTTTATTATATTTTTTATTAATATTGAATCTAATTTCATGTGACACATTTTATTAGATATGTTCTTATTAGATGATAAGGAAGGTAATCATCAGCATTTCCATATTAAAATACAAATCAAAAAGTCCCATGTCAAGGGAGTCTCTCACTTTTTAATTAAAATGTTAAAAAACTCCAGTTTACACACTGGAGGCCAAGGAAACAAGCCACAGATTTGCTAAACTGGGTCCGTACATGTTAAATTAAAAATAATCTCATCACATTTAGGAGACCAATAACTTGACTATGTAATCTAATTCTCATCTCTGCAAGGTTCCAGGCTACGCGTTTCTCAGTAAAATACCAAGCCACTGTAGTAATATAAAGCTGTCAAGTACAATAAAAAGAAAAAATGAAGGTGCTCTCAAATCATTAGCTGAAAATTATTTATGGAAGTTGCAGGTTGCTTTCTGCTATGAAGACCAAATTACCAGGCAGTTTTCACCTCTGTCTTTACTCGTTATTGCTTGAGACTTTCCAAAACAATTTTTTTCTCTTTTTTTCTTTTTTTTTTTTTTCCTTTTTCCTTTTGAGAACACCATCACACACTTTTGTCCACAGACAATAGGATATGCCACCTTTTTATTCTGAAGACTGTTCAAATGTGCTAACAATAAATTAATCTGATCTAATCTGACAGACTCTTTTAACAGCCCAGTCTACCTTCGTGTTTGTGAGCGTGTGTAAGAAGACTTAAAAAAGCACTCCTTTCCATTTTTGCCACTTCATCTTTTAACTGTGTGATTCTGGAACAAAAACTTATAATCAAAGAAGTGAAAGGCAGAATAAAATAAAATAAAATAAAATAAAATAAAACCAACACAGAGAGTGTTTAGCTTTCCTGAAAAGCTTTTTAGGTTGTAACTTCTGTGCAGAATCACTTTGCATTGTATTAGAAAAGATTAGGAAAGAGCAGTCAAATCAGAGGTTTGGGCTTGCAACACCCAAGCAAAATGACTCCAAAGGGGTTCCTGCAGTTAGCACTCACTGTGCATCTTCCCATAATTTCCTAATTTTCCAAAAAATTAAAAGACTTATTTTATATTAGGAAGTCTTCTAACAGCATACAGGTGCATTTGTGCTGGGATGTAGCTGCACAGGGGGCATGCCCACTTACCCACACCACAAACCCAGCAAGGAATAAGCAGGCAGATCCAGTTACAAAGAACCTGGCGCAAGGAGCCTAAAGGAAGGAAAAAAAATACTGTACTTTCGTTCCTACCTGGGTAAAGAAGGGCTCATAGATCTCCACTCCTTTATCAGACCCTTGCAGCAGTACCTCTTGGCCGCGTCGCCAGCTGTACCGAACCGGCGGGTTGGAGTTGGCAACGCACCTGAGAAACACCGTTCTCTCATAGTAAAACTGCTCCTTTGCCTCCCCGATGCTCTGGTGGACCGTGACTATTGGGTCGTCCAAATCTGGGAAGACAGAAAGCACAACCGAGACGAAGTCAGGCTTCAGCTGACTCTACGATGGATCTGCGGTGGGAAGCGCGTGCATCGCCTCGAATACAAGTCAGCAGGAAATTAGAGGCGATACAGCTCTGAAAGCCACAGGCGTACATTTTAGGACTTTCGCAGCAGAATTCGGTTTTAGAGTTTGTTTTCATCTGCACAGCACCTTAGCACAACTGGATCTGCATTTACAACCAAGGCTTTTAGATATAACAATATAGACAATATCATACATGATAATCTCAATCAAATTTCTGTTATGTTTCCACTAATACTTAGGTTTCATCTGGTTTTCATTTTTACTACTTGTTTCTTATGTATGATTTTAATTTAAATGTCTCTTAGACAAAATAGTTTATAAAGCTTAGGAAATAAATAGACAGACTAATTTGCATCCTAATGGTAGGATCCACTAGAACACAGATCATGTGCATGCAGCTGTTTTCCTTTAAAGCAGCAATTTAATACAGTAATTTAATGCATATTCCCTTCTTTTAGTTGCATGCATTTAACTTCAAGCAGGTAAATTCATCACAGGCTTTAGAACACACTTCTCTTGATTAAAATACAGATATCATATAATTACTCCCACTGCATCAGCTCAAAGAAAATTACATCCCCACTATAAAATTCACTCATCTTATATAGGGAAGAAATAACGATAGCCCTTGGAATGTGGATACACTTTATTAATTAATTTGGGCTTTATTCCATCAGGAACAAGTAGGTTCCTATTTTCAGGCTGTTACTATTGTTTATTATGAGCTTTCTCTGAAGGTACAATTACACCGAAGAAGGCAAAAAAAAAATGGAACGAAACAAGAAAACCAACAGCTAGTTTTACTAAGTGCTAGTCAAAACCACTCAATCTCCAAATGACGTGGTAAGTAATTCTCTGGTGAGCTTTAGGGAGAAGTTACACTGCCTGGAAGGCTGGCAGCCAGTCCCTGTGTTTCAAAGGCATGTCCAGCTTTTGCTCCAACAGTTACAATACAGGCACTGATGCTGTTACCCCCAGCGAGTAGGAACAATTTGCCTAATTATACCTGTATCGATTGGGTCTGCAAGCACACAGCAACACCACATTCCCATGTGCAACTCAGCCTTGACTGAAATAATTTCAGAACCTTACCAGCCGTGCTTCTTCCTTAAACCAAAATATAAATAATGCTTTAAGTAGTGCGTAATTAATGACTCATCCAAAAATTTTACCCTGTTTTTGCAAAGTCTTGTGTGAGCAACTACCCAAATGTCAATTCATCATATTTTTATGAGGCCACGATTCAGTGAAATGCAGAACGAGGTGCTCAAATCTTAGCGTGACCACCAGTGTTGAAGGGAATGCGGTCATGCTCAAAAACACACCTGAGTCCCTCTTCAAAGGTGTTGAAAACAAGGACAACAGTTTTGGGGGAAACATCCCATGCATTTTTCTCCCATGTCCTTTCCCCAGTGTATTCTGTGAAAATGGACCATCAACATAGCTGTTCCGAAAAAACTGGGGGGGTTTGGTAGTTCTATAAACTAGAGGTAAGGCAGAGGCAAATGGGATTATTAAAGGAAGCCCATCATTAACAAGCTGAATAGATTAACATGTTTCAAACGTCCACTCTGAAAAGCAGTTTGCACTTAAAAATTATTCTTTAGATGCTTACATTTTGATTTGCATAACAAGAATAAAGCTTGAGAGTCTCTTGATTAATAAGAAACAAAACATGTTCCAAAATTTGCAATAATTCAAGCAATAATATCTTGTAATAGTGCACGGATTTTAGGTAAATGTTACCTTCATTCTACTCTACAAAACATTTAATTTAATATCACAGAAACAAATTATGAAACTGTTGCTTCAAATTAGGATGGTATTTTCTAATGAGAATTCATTTTTGTTCTAAAGGTTATTTTAAATCACAGTAGCATTTGAAAAGGGATGAGGCTGCTGAAACGTTATGTCTTCTACTCATGCAACAGAAAATAAAAAGGAAATTAGCTTGCTTCAATTTCTAGGCCAAAACACCTGTTCTCTATATTTTGATGAACAACAGAACATTTCACACATGAATGCTTTCCTGCGCCTGTTATTAAAGCACATCCTTAGCCCACAAACAAGGATGACTGGCAGCCAAGAGCAGGCACCATGAGGGGACTGCTCCTCAAAACTCTCACTCTTCAATGAAGGTGAATCCCCTCAGGTGGAATAAACAAGAAGTCCAAGACTTGACTCAGCTTCCTTTGTATGAAGTTAATCAAGACTTGACAGACTAAATCACTTAAAGCCTAAAACCAGGACTTAAGGCAAGGCTTACCAGTGTGAGGTGGCAGTCAACACCCTGACACAAGGCAAGCTGAGGCTGACTGACCCCAAGACAGCTTTGCAGAGAGGCCTTGGAGGTCCTGGTAAGAGAAGCTGAACAGGAGGGTGGCCAACTGCATCCCAGGCTGCAACAGCAGGATTGCAGCCAGCAGGTCCAGGGAAACGCTCTGTCCCCTCTACCCTGAACCTGAGACAACATCCTCAGCGCCCCAGGCCAGGTCAAGCCATGGACCTACTGCAGCGAGCGCAGAGGAGACCACCAGGATGACTGGAGGGCTGGAGCAGGCACCACACAACTAGAACCTGAGGGAGCTGGGTTTGGCCAACCTGGAGAGGATAAGATGAAGGTTTGATCTAATTTCTGTCTTGAACTGACTACTAGGAAGTCATAACGAAGATGAAGGCAAATTCTTAGAAAAGCAGAACAAAACATCATGAACCGATTGGTGTAAGTTGCAGCGAGAGAAATTCCTCCTGGTTATAAGTGAAAACAAATTCCCCGTGCAATGAGACAAGTGCCCAGATTATGACAGGGGATGTTTTTTTGGGTAAGAGTATAAGGAAACCTCGAAGAAATTTAAGATGGGAATGCAAATGCAGCAAGCCCCCTGCCAAAGCATTTCATAATGGTCAATTAATAGAAAATTTGCACCGCAGAACTTGACTGATTTTCTCATCGGCAGTGCTGGAAAGATCTCGACAGCTGCAGCAAAGCAAAAGAAGCAGCACTAATAGGAGACAAAATAATGCTTGCAATTATTGTGAGATTCCACTGAACACTCAACTGCCTGCCCCGCTGTTGGGCAGGGTTAGACAAATGTTTTACTGGATTGTTATATAAGACTGTATTTTGCTCAGGCAGTGCGAGAGCTGCAAAAATAATACAAAGTATGCCTTTTTTTATAATACTGCCAAGGTATTCTGCAGAGTTATTACAATGGAGGCACGCAACTGCCAAATTCACTGCCATTAGACAGGCTATTTTAAAGTCACCTAGTCTTGGTGGCATTAACGCTCACTTGTCAAAGCTCTCCAGAACTCCAGTTTCAGTGGCTAATTGAATTGTTACTAGTTGATACTCAAATTTCTAAATATTTTTATTTTTAAGTCTATTTGAAGCTCTGTGCGTATGTGTATTCGTGGGTGTTCCCTAAAAGCACTGGAACAGCTGGGGCCTCAGCAGTCTGGGAGGGAAGCTATGGACTTCAGTTATTGCCTGGCAGTTAACCTGGGAAGAGGAAAGAGGAGAAATCACTGAAGAGACAGGGAGATCTCACTGCAACGGAGAAAGATTTAGCAATAGGAAGCTCAACTAGATGAACTGTTGAAGTGCTCTGCAAGATAAAAAAAAAACAACACTAAAATTTTCATTTGGGGCTGATCAAGTAATGAAGAGTTAACTGACTAATCATTCTTTGAATTAAACTCAAGTCATGGGTGTTGCTATGTAGTTAAAGTCTATTAATCAAAATGAAAATAATTACAGAAGTATGTTTTCCACAGAGGTTTATGCCACCATTAGGTTCAATTTTTCAGTCTTTAATCTTTGAATTGAACCAAACAGCTTCCAAAACCCAGATGGCACAGGCATGCTAAACATTGTATTGGAAGGATTCCCTTCACACATCCCTAAGCACGCAAACAAACAGAAAACCCAATGTAAGCTCTTCAAGACGGGTCTAATCTGAATGCACCATGAATTGCATCACGACGGTCAGAGATGCTGGGGTGGAAGGTGCACAGGAGTGGTGCAGGTGCTCTCAATCTCCTCCCCGGGGCTGAATCGCAAAGCACCGGAGGCATCGCACTGCCTGCCGGTAGGAAACACGGCCCATCCCCTGCAACCCTCACCTGAGCTCCAGGGGAGTTTCACACGTACAAACAGGGGAGCAGGATCACAGACTCTATTTGCTCTATCATCTTTTTTTCAGCTGCTGGGACTACGCAGCTTGCTGATTTCATTTGTTAATTAGCTGCCTTTGTCTTCAGACATTCAAAGCAAGCGATGCTTGGGAGTCAGGATAATAATAAAGCATGCATCTGGTAAACTGATTGAAACTGCTTCATCAAGACACGCGGAGAGGAGACAGCAGTGATGCATATATTTAGCCTAACTTGTAAGTTATTCTTAAATATAAAAATACAATGTTTTTCATGCTATTTTCCTTACTGTAGCCTCCTTGACCTAGCGCAAGCTATCAATAATTATGCAGGTTTGAAGTGCTTTGTGGTACTGTATGATATAAAACTGTTACACAGGGTTCAGAAAATGCACAAAAATTGAACAAATATGTATTGCTTGCATACCTGTGGGAAGGATGGGCTGCCTTGCATGCCAACCTTCAGTAGATGCAGTGTGGAGACACAAGAGCTCCAAACAAGCTGGGAACAGGGGAGCCAAGTTACCTAGAGCTCCATATAAGATATTTTTCCCTCTACAGCCCTTTAAAAGAGATTTATTATGCATCTGCAGTGCTGTATTGCCTGTGCAGTACAGCTACAACAGTAGAAAGCAAGCATCATTTACAAGGCCAGATCCTATAAGAAAGCAAGCCTTTCTTCCTTGCTTGCACAAGACTGTGACCTTGGGGGACCCCTGATGAGCTTATATTGATTTCCAATAGCGTTTTGGGAAGATCAAATACACGCT